CAAAAGGGGAAGAAAGAGAAGAAAGAGAAGAAAGAGAAGAAAGACAAGAAAGAAGTGACTCGTGATAGCATGCTTATGCCAAAGGACCAATTAAATAAACAAATAGCGACTAGATTATCTGTGAGATCTAAGTGGATTAAACAGAAAAGGGCCTCCGTCATGGATGCAAAAGCACTTAACGAAATTTTCATGGTAACGAGTTAGTACAATAGATATAGATTACAATTTAATAAATTTATTATAACTATATATAAAATACATCCTCTTCCATTCATTCGATTAAACTAATACGAATGAGATACCACCAACGAAACATGTAACCATACCGACAACTGTCAATAATTCTCCCTTAGAAATGCTCTTCATTGATAAGTTACCGGAAGACAGCTTAGTTGAAGTAGAGTCGGAACCAGAACCAGAGCTTGAACCAGAACCAGAACCAGAACTAGAGTCAGAACTAGAGTCAGAGCTAGAGCCAGAAGACCCAGAGGAACTAGATCCACCCTTAGTGGCTTGGGAAATCTTTGATGAACATGATTTATTGGCTGAAGCTTTCTTATTGATGGAAGCGGAACCCTTAAAATCACAAGCGGAACTCTTCTTACCATTCTTTTCGTAATAAGCATTCAAGATGTAAGATAACTTATCCTTTGAGGAACAGAAAGAGAAAGCACCGTACTTACCCTTTGCACCATCAGCGGTAATTGTGTCACAATCAATATCACCACAAACACTTCCATACAAGTCACCGTAATCTTCTTCATCAACGTCATCAGAAAGAACACATTCCAAAGACTTTGACATACAATCACAAGTATCCTTATCTGGAGTTGGAGGTAATTTGGAAGCAGCTTTCCACGTTGAAGCAGAGGCAGGACAAGAAAGAGTGCTAGAAGCCAGCTTAACAGAGGATTTCTTGGCGTAAGATGGAGAAATCTTGTTAATTTCTGATGAATAATATTTAAAGTCATCTAAAGTTTTAACATTATCACCATTAGCTGAGACTAAACCATACTTGTTTGCTTCTTCGAAGTACATGTAAACAATACCACCAGACCACACATCAGTCATATCATCACTAAAAATGGTACCGACTTCTGTAAACTTTCTTGGTCTTTTAGCATTACATCCATATTCAGAGAAGAAAACAGGGATAGTCAAGTTCTTGTATTCTTTTGTACGGTCCTCGTAACCAGAAGACTTAAAGCTGGAATCACCACACCATTCGTAATTGTTAATACCGAAGAAATCTGCTCTTTCATCAAGGCTACCACAAGAGAAGTAGTCTGCAATTGCAATTCTGGTGTCTTCATCATCATTTGAAGAGTAACCAACTGGAATGTCTCTATAATTCTTGTCTGAAATGTACTTCTTGGTATCTCTGATAGCAGCCTTCACGAATGCAGAAGCATCAGTGTTGGATTTGTTGTTAGTAACTTCGTTACCTGCGAAGAAGCCTAAAACATTCGAATAGTTGGCAAATTGATCAACAACACCGGTGTATCTTTCGTATAACTCTAAATCCCAAGATGGAGAGTCTCTATTGATGGAAAGTTCTGGTTCAGATAAATCAGCAATAATGTAAATACCAGCATCGGCGAAAGTCTTCATACATTCATCGTGGTTCTTAGAATGGTTAAGAGCATATACTCTTAATGTGTTAGTGTTTAACTTCTGGAGGTACTCAACGTCTCTCTTACAAGCATCACCATCAGCGAGAGGATCAACGAATTCCTTGGAAGTGGTATTTTCAGTGTTTTGCTGGTAAGCAATACCTCTCATCAAGAATTGGGAACCATTATTCTTGAAGTAAAATTTGTTACCCACAACTTCGACTTCTGGTGTAGAGTCATCTGCAAGTACTAATTGACAGGTCAATAGACCAAAAACGAACGCTAACAATAATGGTAACTTAAACATCTTTGCAAAATATTCTTATACGTAACGAATGTGTTGTCAAGTCACTTAACTATGAGAAAAATGAACAAAGATATTAGAATAAATTCACAGTAAATTTTGTCCAACTTTTCAGCAGAACAAATATGCTATATATATTCGATCATCTTTTGATTACTCGAAAATTATTAATACACGAAACACGATATCCGTGTGAAATTAAGTGAACTAGGTCAATAGGGCTATTGATTCCCTCACTCGTAACAATAGAATACTATTGAGAGCCCAAAATCATTTCTTACTGTTTTGATGTCAAACAATCAAAATGAGTTTTGATCACTGTTGACATAAAGTTAACTATGCTTGAAAATTTACCTTTCGCAAGAATGCAGGTACATATTCCGCGCTTGAGTGGCGGTAGGTGGCGAAGCTGGAGTATTACTTAACAAAGCAAAATTAATATCAATTTGGAATATGGTGCCAGTTAGGCGAATAAGCCTTTACAAATAGGATTCAAATCCGGAAATTTAGGGTCTATTGAGTGGTGTCTTAGCAAGCATTGTCGCAGATTTGCGAAGTCTGGAATTTAGAAGCCTTCGTTTGGCTAAATGCAACGCGATTCTACATTAGTTGGTTTTGGACCCAAGTTAGGTATGAATAGTTGAACGTGAAGCTAAATATTTGTAAACTTACAATAAATCGTGGCAGTTCAATAAGCTATGCGAAAGTTAAAAATGGTAGCATAGATAGAAAAATTTCTATGTGCATTATATACAAAAGGGCAAATGAAAGGTGTCAGGGGCGGATAATCTTGATGTGAAGTGATAGATGTCAAGGGCTTAATTAACTGAATATCGCAAGTTTATTACAAGGAGAGTATGCGGTGGGGGTTGATGGTAGACGAAAAATGCGACCTGATTTGTGCATAGTTAATTGGCACAAAGTCGACATATTCGAGTTTAGATCGATTGGGATGTGGAACAAAACAAGGTCAAGCAATATATAGTTGTAGTATGGACTCGTCTATTAATAGATCATTACAGAGTGGTTGAGCATATATCATATTCACAGTTAAAATGGCCTATTTATATAATGTACATAGAAATTAGTTGGATTCATTCATCCAGTCTAAGGTATATTTAATACCAGTTTCGAGGTCAACTTGGGGTTTATATCCAAGCACAGCTTTAGCTTTGGATATATCGTGATAACGATAAGCACACACAACCTTAACTCTAAATGGGGTTAAACCAGGCTCTTTTTTCAATAACTTTGAAAAGAACTCGGATAAATATCCAGCAGCTATAGCGACCGGTCTGTTCAACACAATGTTGTACTTGTCGATATGTCCGTCTGCTTTCCAAACAGTACGTGCCAAAGTCCAGAAATAAGTAGGTGCGTCATTGGTGATGAAGAATGTTTCACCACCAAGTTTGTGGGACAAGCTTTTATCTAAGATTTTTTGTGCAGCTAACACATGTGCATCAGCTACATTTCCAACATAGGTCCAGTCGAATAAGTTATTGTTGTCTCCAATTTGAAACTTAGATTGGCCCAATCTTGCGGCAGCTCTTAATCCTGGTACTAATTGCCTATCGCCAGGTCCAAAAATGCCCGCTGGTCTTAAGCAAACAGTTAATAAACCGTTAGGATCGTTGCTTTCCATAACTGCGGTTTCGGCAAATGCCTTTGTCTCGTTATAACCATCCATATGGACGTCTGGATATGGCCACGATTCGTCGGCATTATGGATATTCTGCCCATTGAAAATAACCCCAGCAGATGAGGTGTAGACCAATGCCCTAACTCTTAACTTTTTCGCTACTTTAATCAAATTCTTAGTACCCTCAATATTCACTTTTTCGTAGATTTCTTGTGCAAGTCCGTGCATAGGTGAAGCAGAATGAACAATAACATCACATTGAGATTTTTTAATTGCTTCTTCAACATCTGCCTCAGAGGTCAAGTCTCCTTGATGGAAAGTAATTTCGCTAGTTGGAAATGTAAAATAAGGTGATAATTTTTCAGCTATTGGACGAACATCAAAGACGTGTATTTTGGTGTTTGGAGAATTTTTATGAAATTGCTCGATTAAATGTAATCCAAGGAAGCCTGCACCACCAATCAAAAGAACCGAATTCAACTCAGATGACATTATTGAATATCTTTGCTAGTACACCAATCGTAAAATTAGTCGGATACTGTTTTTTTATATTTATCTTGTTCAGAATACTGTTATATACAGGCACTAATAACTACTCTAAGATAAAGATATGTATTAAACAAACATTAGGTGCTATACTATAAATAGGCAATATTAAAACTCGAACAAAGACTTATACTTGTTAACTTTGTTGTAGTCTAAGTGGACTTCTGTCTGGATTATTTCCGGAAATATGAACTCCAGGTTTTTGTTAGCAATATTGTACACTGGATTAGAGTCTATATTTGGTTTTGTAGTTTCACCAAATGAAAAGCCATTCGTATTTTTTTGAAATTGACTGTGGTTGAACTTGGGGGCATCTTTGGTATTTTCTTTCCCGCCCTCAGGAGGGATATGGGGGCTCTTGTCTGAGGATTTTGGTACTTCTTTTGGTAAATTGAATTTGAACTGATTACTACTAGACGTAGAATCTGAAAATTTACTATCATTTTGTGTAGAAGTACCAAATGAGGTTTTGGCGTTCGAGGAATCGTTGCTCTTTGGGGCAATCTTATCTTTAGGTAATTCTTCAGACTTGTCGAAAGAAATAGTTTTATTGATATCGTCAGCAGTAAGCAACGTACTCTTCTTCTGTTTTATTGGTGTACTAGCATTGATGGAAAATTTCGACTTATTGTCATCTTGACTTCTAGGTTTTTTGGATGAGTGAGGTCTGTGGTACGGATTAGAAAATTGTTCAATAATATCGCTCTTATTGGTAGACACATCTTTCATTTCAACATCTTCCGAATGTGTGTTTCCGTCCAAAATATTTAATAATGCGTTTGCCGCATTACTCATAGGCTTCGAAGCGACTTTCTGAGCTGATGGGGACGTTGAAATGGTTGGCGATTTCTTTGCTGGGATTTTTGGTTTAGCTGACAAGCTTGGAGCCCTTATTCTAGTTCTATAAGGAGATGGTAATCCTGAAAATTGATAAACTCTTTTCACAGATGGAACGTTTTTGGAGTTGAAATTTTCATTGATAGTATGGTATACTGGTTTGTATTCTGGAGTTGAGAGTACGTGGTCATTAGAGCTAGTATTCTTCAAAGTTCTTTGGCTGTATGGCGTGGCAAATAAATTTGAAGCAGATGACTTAAATGCAGATGTGTCGGCGTCCTTATTACCTAGGTCTGTTGAATCGGCAATGGACTCAGATTGCCTTGATGCATTATCTCCACGATACACAACACTATTATTTGGCGTGTTGGAAGCCGATTTAGACTTAGACAACAAACTAACAACGCCTTCATATTCTACATCCGTAAGTGGCCTGTCACCTTTCTCCTGGAAAAAGCTTGATAAAACTTGATTGGGTGCTTTCAACTGGTTGGATGTGGATTTTAATGGTGTTTTAAATATAGTTGTATCTGGTTCTGGGAAACTAAAAGGTTTGACATTTGATTCACCCTTTTCACCTTTCTCGGTAACCATGCGCATTGTATTATCAGCGGTCTGTTCATTGTAACTTGTGGTTTCATGGTTGGACCAAAGCGATGCGCCAGTAAGAAACAGTTTCATTTTGGAGAATAAACCATTATTAGGCCTGGAATATGGTGTAGCAGAATCCTTCACCTTATCTTTGTAAGACCGGAATACCCTTCTATTGTCCATATTGACCGTATCTTCCTCTCTTTATTGAAGTGGGTATCTAACTTTACTGCCTTGACCTCTCATCTTATGTTCATTAAAAATCTCAAATATCACGTGATCGAACATATACCTCTGAATGTAAATATCAAAAATGGATAGATATGGAGTATGTTGAAGGCAAGTTTGAGCTTCGTACAAGCCATTATTATATCCAGAAACCATCAGATATTATCCAGAATACCTAAATACTATTGAACAATAGTTTAACTGGATCATTAACAATATTTTACTTTCTTATACGCGTATCCACAAAAAATCAAGACGATTGCAATAAATAGCGCTAAGCATCATTATAGAGGCACTGAGCATATGTCATAATGGGCGATTATATTCCGGACTCAGAAGATGAAGAAGATTTACTCTTACTGCCGGGCGTAATATCGCACCTGAAGGTTGCACAGACTCTACAAAGCATGCCAGAACCCACAAGACAGGTTATTTCATCTGAATTAAGACGAACAAGATTCTTCGAATTGGTACCTGAGATGACGCCTGAGTCTTTAAGAGAGGCATACACATTTACTGTGAATGATTTGGGAGATTCACGTCAACACAGTACGACTGGGGATAGATCTACGCATACAGAAGAGGAAGGCGATGGAATACGACACAATTCTGACCAGATAGATAATGGGGACTTAGGGAAAATACGACATGATTTAGATCGAGATGACATAGAGATGCTTCAGGAATCCAGCATTAATCAGAGCTCGAGACGGGGCCTTCGTAAGAGAAATTTTGCAAGTACCCACCCGTATATAGCAGATCAGGCGCACTGGTTGGGACTAAGCAGCATCAACTCCTTGAATGAATTGTATCATGAGACACCAGACTTAGATGCCATAGTAAGGTTATTGAATCAAATATATTTGAAAAAGAAATCTAGATATTCGAGTGACGAAAAGTATAAAGCAAAAAACTTCTATGCATTTTTAGGGAAAAGGCCAGGTTTTATTAAGGACCAGGAATTATCGTCTCAATTTACCGAGGATTCGAGCCAACCTAGTTTCCCTAAAGAGACCAATAATAGAACAGAATCTAACGAGAATAATATTTCAAATGACAGTGATCTGGGAGAATCAGACTCTAGTATCCTATTTCTCAACCGTAAAAATCATTCCATAATCGTTGATGACGAAGATGAAGAACCTGCTGATGCACATGTCCTGATGGATGATCCACTGAGTACAGATGAGTCAGAAGATAGTGACATAATGGTAAGAGTTGGCGGGAAATTTCGAAAAGAAAGGAATGTGTTACGGGGGACTTTACCCGAATCCGCAAAGAGACTAGACCTATACCGATCTAAGAAATCAAAGATCGATCGTAAGAAGAGGAATAATAACAATTATAGAAAGGGCCTAGCAATTAAAAAGTCGAACGTTAGCAATAACCGGGACAATATTTTAGAGAATGAATTAATGTCATTTGTTGATGATAATGATTATTACGAAGAACCCCCAGCATTTTACCATAATTTTGAGCCTTTAGAATACCAAAATGATCTTTTATTAATGGACACGGATAATGCCGATTCAGATGAAAGTATTAATGTATTTTCTGATATTTCTGAATCCAGCAATACAGGAATATACGATGATTATAATTCAAAATCTTTTGAGGGTGATATTGACAATACAGACTTTCAAAAAATACAAAACGGAGTAAATGAAGACTTACGCACAGATTATTATGGAGGTGTGCATCTACTGTCGAAGTATGACGATGATAGTGATTCAGTTATAGAGGACAACAGAGTAGATCCGCAATTCGTATATCCGTCAATTACACGGAACCATAAAGTAACAGGAAATAAGAGAAAGACAAATAAAAAGAGTAGAAATGCAGCTCAGACTTTGGACAAGTGGAATCCTACTGCGGTTACAGGAAATGCTAAGCGTCAAATGTCTAATGGATCAGGTACTGGAATAAGGAAACAGAAATTAAATAAACGACAAACAAAAATTGTAGGGCTTTCTTCTAAGGGATTCGATAAGGTCTCTTTTGGGAAATTAAGGAAGAAGCGAATTGGGAGTAGCGATAAGGAGATGAATAACAAAAAAAAAGGGTATTCAAAGGTTGCGAATGTAATAGATACTAGTATGAACCCTAAAAAATCACAGAAAGACATGTTGATAACCGATTATTACTTTCTGAGAACTCCGAATATAAGCACTACTATATTTGAAGCAGAGAGCACGAACAGATTTGTCAAAACAAAAGACACCAGATTTTCTTATAACCAGAGGGGAATTTTACCTAGCCATCTTCAATATGCCGAAAAATCTGATAAGCTTTACGAGGACGAAATATCGAATACCATTATTTTTGATGACATTGATATGAATAAGATACATTCTTTAAAATTTGGGGTTTGTCCCATATGTAATACTGATTCATCTGTGATAATACTCATGGGCGAAAAATATTCTTTTACTTTGATCGATAAGACTGATTCCAATGTAAGAAGTGAAATGCTTCTTTTGCAATTAGCAAAGTTGCTCAATGATCTGAAAATTTACTCAAATGAAGACTTAAATAAGGAAATTCAACAGTCTTTAAAGGGAATTATCAAGTGGTTTCTAATACTACAAGAAAATCCAAGTGAAAATGCATGGACCTATCTTTTACATATTCTTGATGATATGTCTAAAGTTAAAAAGAAGGATAATATATCTAGTAAGCTTTCATTCTTTCCTTACTTTTTGTTGTTGTATTATATATTTATTCAAGTATCTCAGAGAGATATTCTGGATAAACAAACTATAGAACTAAGATATACTGATTACAATAGATATTGCGTGAAATATTGGACATTATATTTCCAGTTTACAGATATTGATAGCTTGACTAACGATGAACTGTTGCTGTTAAACTTTCAATCTTTACACTTTATGTACTTGTTATTTCAAAATAATGATGAAATATGGTGGCCTGTAATTAATAAGGCATTAAACCGGTTAATTAGTTTAAGGTTAGCACCTATGGGTATTTTTGACATGTTGTATTACATTGCCTCACTAATTCCACCAAGTAGGTGTAACTGGTCATCATTCTACATTATCTATAATGCTCATAAATCGGATGATAATTCTGATTTTCACAATAGATTTATTGAAACAATTTACTCTTTAAATGAAAAATATTCGTGGACATTCGAAGAGAAGCTTATAACAACCATCTATTCGACCATAACTGCTCGTAAATTCTCCAATTTTGATGACGAGAAAACTGGACCAGAATTGATAGATATTCTAATCACTAGAGACAGTATACCTAACACATCTTTCTTTGAAAAGTTTATGCATCTCTTGTACTGTTATGTCTCAAGTTTGCCATACGGTGGAAATAAAAAGAGACTAATCAGCAAGTTGTTTACATCAAGTCATTATCATTATCAAAAAGGCTCCAGGAGTTTCGCAATGTTTGTCAATCGGTTTAATTTCATTTTGCTTTTATCACAACTTTCGGACGTTGATTTGAGGAATCAAGTTCTTGACCTTGTACAACAAGTAAAATCCTCGAACGACATTAAAATGTATAATATTACAAATGAGGGATTACAAACCTATTCAAATATCGCAGCAAGTAAGAGTAAGAGTTTACCCGTTGACTCGTATCAGATTATGGTCGAAACTATGATCGATCTATACACATCATTACCAGGAATACAAAGAATATGGGAGCAACTTTTGATAAATATCGAAAAATACTTTCTCCCTGATATCAATAGTACATTTGCCTTTAACAATCATTTCAATTTTTTTGCATTAGTTAGACGCCTTGAATTCAATAAGTTTACTGATTTGATTTCAGTTTCACTCGTGAAGTTATTATTAAAGGCAGTAACAAATATAATCAAGGCAGAACAGTTTAATATTTCAGAGAAAAATTCTGAATTGATATACATTGTCCAAGAGAAATATTTCTCTTTCTTACACACACATATGGGTAGATTTCCATTCCTGAATCAGTTAACAGAGGATCGTACTACTGAAATAATCGAAGAAAGTATAAGGGTTTGGATTAGGTGCAATTCCCTATTGAAAGAAGTGAATTGGAATGTTTTGGTGTTGCAGAAATATCCCTATATTGGGAACTCCTATCTGCGGGAGAGATTTGTGTTGTTCTTCTATAATGAGTTGTTATTATTTACAAGTCTTTCAAATCATATCGATAGTATTATATTGGCATTATTAAAGAGTTTGGCCTTGTTTTTTACGTCACCCTACCTTGCATTAATTATTAACCTGTTGATGAAATCTCATCATCGTCTTTTTATTTTTAAAAAAGAGCATGTCCCAGAACAACTTACATCTTTTCAGATGCTGAATTACAAGCTGCTCATAGCTTCTAACATTATTTTCAACCTCGCCGAAGATGATATACTTTCAAAGGCAACGAAGATAATATACTTGGAAGAGCTAATTAAATCATTAAATGAGGAATACAACAAGTATTTTGAGTCTACCAGCTATGTGGAATATTGCAGAAAGTTGGTCGAAACAGTACAAAAATATTGTGCTGAATTTATTCAATCTATTGACGAATATGGTTCCCTTTCAAGAAAATTAGGTATTAAACACCTAGAATCTAATGAATATAGATGGCACATACTACCATTGAAAGAAAAGCTCACATGCCTAAATAATGAAATATCATCGGCTGTTTTTTTCCAGAAGGATGCTAGATCAATACTAGATGAATACATTACCTTGGAGAGTTTTGATTTGGTTTATCACCTTATTAGCATTTACATGAAATCGGTTACGAACTTTCAGCAAGATAAGTGGATTTTTATATCTCAGCTAATGGAGTATATTTATTCAAAGCTATTAGATTATAAGATTTTGATATCAGATAAACTTTACAAGAATTTTCTCAGACTGTTAGTTGATTTAGGATCTTTAAGAAGAAAGGTAGAAGGAAGGTTTCACCTGTATGAGGTTTATCAAAATAAGTCATTTATCGCCGCATTTGCAATCTTTCGAGAGACATATTATTTATATGATGGATATAAGGATAGGGCACAAATAAAAAGCACGATAAATGATTTTGTCGACATGTACGATGATTCTAATACCGATAATTATATCACAGATTTGAGTATACCATTTTCTTCGTACGTTCTTTTTGATATTCAACAACCAGGAAGTGAGATTGGTGGAAGCACCGTACAAAATACTCCTCAAGATAACCTTAATAAACTTAAAGAATCTTCAGATCATGGTTATAACCAGTTACTCAAAATTATTAGACCAACATTATCTAGTGAATTCTTATCCACTTCATTACCATTTGATATTAGCTTTTAGGTTATACAATGGATTATTACTTCAAAATCATTTTGCATTTAATATATTTACAAATGTTCTACATTATAATAAATATAATATACATATTATACATAATCAAGGAACCTATTGTAAACCCCGCTGACTTTTAATTAATCTGATTTCAGATTCTAATTTATCTCTACCCTTTTTAACATCTAAAAGTGCAACCACAGACTTTAATAACTCATCATATTTCGCCATAGTCTTTCGGGTAGGCATAACAGGTTTCCAGCTTGTTCCACCCGCTGTAGGAATATCCAACTCTTGGAGAATGCTATTTACAGATTTTAAAACAGATTGCCTTTGTTGTAAACCGGGCAATCTTTGAGTAGATCTTAATATAACTCCCGGTGTAAGCTTCTCGTTAGCGTGGTAATGCAATCCATATGCTTCTTCTTCCTTCACCGTTAAACGCTTCATTAATAATTGCTGAATAGCATTTGCTTCTTGCTTTGAGTCATTGCTAGAGGGATTCTGTTTTAAAAAGCCAGATAAATATTGCTGCAAATGAGTTTGAAAGTTACGCTCTTTCTTAAACGATGAAGAAGCTGCAATTGGGATAGGCGGAGGAATTGGATCATGACTGTTTGAGTTATTTGTTCTTTGTTGCTGTTGGAATTGGCGTTTCTTCTGGTGCTTATCGATTATCATTAAATTATTGTATAAGTTGGCTAAACCCTGTGACGACTGGTACTGTTGAACTGATTGCGTAGTTTGAGGAGAGTCAAGCAATGTTAAAAGATGTGATCGTTCTATGAGCATTTTCTTAGCTGCAAGTTCAAATCGGCGAGCTTCAATCACAAGAGACTCTTCTTCGGCAATTTCAGCAGGTGTTCTTTTAAGAAGACTTTCTAAGTACTGTTTTCTTTCAATTTCTTTTGATTTCGAAAAGGCCTTAAGATTTTCAACTAATGCCGGATTTGAATTAGATTGAGATTCTATTATCTTAGCACAAACTCTATAAAATTGTTCTTTTATGTCTTCTAATGTACGATCTGGGTTCTTGAATCTATCATATATCACGGGCCATTTCAACTCATACGCATTACATAGTTCAAATAGATGCTTTGTTTCTTGGTATGTCCATTCTGAAATATCTCTTTCAGAATTGGTATCTTGTAACTTTTCCTCTTTAGCTGGTTGTTTTTCTGATTCGCTGGCCTTATTATCAACTTGACTTGAATCATCATTTTTCTCATCATTGTCTTTCTTATCAGTCTCATTGACCTTATCAGGGTCTTCCTTCTCCTTTTGATCTTCTTTTTGATCTTTCTTTTTGTTCTGCTCTTCCTTTTCTTTCTCCTCCTTTTCTTTCTGTTCCTCCTTTTCTTTCTCCTCCTTTTCTTTCTGCTCTTCAATTTGTTTCATTTCCTGCTCTTTAAGCTCTGCCATAAAGACATTATACGCTTCTTCATCCATAAGCCCCGGCAAATCCAATTTCGTATTAAATTTTTCAAAAAAATATGGTTTCTTATTCGTAGCCTCTTCTTGTTCTAGTAATTCTTTTGATCCTTTTACCCAATGAAATAACTCCACTTGGTCACCAGCCTTTGACGTAACTGGTGTAAATGGCATCTTCGTCCACGGAGATGGTTTCATATTAAGCTTATCTCTAATCCCCGTATTACCTGAAGCAACTGACATATTCACTGGAGGTGTATTTGGCCCTAATAAGTTATATAGCTCTCTAGCCATACCTGTTTGACGAGGCATAGAAGTCTGTTCATTTCCAACCTTTTGTTTTTTTTTTGGTGGCTGGTTTTGACTGTCTCTTTGGACATTCAAAACATCTAATATATCATTTGCAGACATGATTAGTTCTGTCCTAAATATGTATTAGAAATTCGGTCAATTTGACTATGTTTATGTTAGTAAAGAAATATTTCAAAATACAAGTTTTACAGGTTAAAAAAATTACAGGTTAAATATTTTTATTATAGCCTAGGCGACATAGTGGTATAAACTTCTATCATTATCATCTCTTTTTAAGTACTCTTTCTCAATCAAATCTTCAATTCTCCGTTTGATAAGAATATTCAGTGTTTGGAATCTATTTTGCAACTGTTTCACCAATTCACTTATCAAATCGTTATGGTTAATTGTACGACGTGATTTCATTATGCGTACGATTGCAGCATTAATTTCTATCTTACGACCTTCTAGAATACTTGATTCTACTTCTTCAAATTCTTCTTCTTGAACCGTTTTAGCTGATGCAGCATCATTGGAAGTGGAAACTTTCAGACTTGAAGCACCACTAGAGGAAGCTGAAACGGTCAAAACCTTGACCTTTGTGGAAGGTGACTTGAACTTCTCATTCAATTTAAAGACATCACTATTGTTCACTTCTTTTGTCATTGGTACTTTAATTAAAAGTCTCAGTCTTGGGGCGACCGCAATAGATTGTAATTGTCTCTTTAAATCTGCCTCCGGTATGCCCGTGAGCTCTCTAATTTCGTCATACGTAAGTTCTCTCATCTCATCAAATGCCAGAACCTCATTACCTCCTGAATCAGTGGATTGTGGTGCGAACAAAAGCATGATGATTCCCGCGTATGTTGACATGCTTATATCGTAAGTTTTTGTTGGGTATGTTATTCTCAAGTCCATAGAACCAAATTTAGGACACCAGTAAAGGGATTTATTGTCGTTTCTTTTATTTGTGAACCAAAATTCTTCAAACTCTTTAATGGTGGATCGTAACTGACGAGACCAAATAAATCCAATTTCGTTATTTGTGTCGTCCCGTGCAAACTTCTTATAATCTTTTGTCATTGATTTTGGCCAATCGGAAACATTACAGACCTTCAAATCTAACTCTATTAATGATTTCTTGTGATTTTGGTTCACATAGCCCTTCCAGTCTTTGGTCAATTCACGAGACAGCTTTATGTCTTTATCCATTTTAATGACCTTATGCAATGATGTTGTTCCCATTTCTTCTCCCAATTTCGATATTATCAATTCTTCGATGTCTACTCCTAATTTCCCATTACTCGACACACTGGTTCCCTGCGAAGAAGTTTTAAAGTTTAAAAATCTTTTGGCAAAATGATTTGCGTAATGTGCTTCAAATGCATCTTTATCCTTTACAAACCTTAAAAATGCAACAGATTTGTTAATTAAATCATCAGTTTGATCTACTGATGATCCATTCATGTCATTATCATTTTCGTTTGAAATACTTTTGGAACTTGATCCAGGATTTTTCGTAAGCTGCTTGATTCTATAATCCATATAAATCGATAGCAATTCAGGTGCACTGCTTCCTGATGATGTGTTCAATTTTTTACTACCACTAGACGCATTTAGAGCCCCATTTATGAATTCCCTCATACCCATGGTTATGCATTGTTCCAATATAGCATCACCCGAAAATGATTCTTTGACTATCTTTGAAAACTGGTTTTGGTATTCTAAGATAGAATTAATCCACGTAGACGCAAAAGCAGTAGAATTAGAACTAGATTTCTTCGATGAGGAGCTATCATCTTTAACAGATATTGTCTCCTTAACAAGTGAAGGCAACGTGTTACCTTGAAATATAACTAAGTCTTTTAAGCGAGTTTTGAAAAGTCCATAGTCAGGGTCAATTCTACCCAACAACTCATATAGTATCTTCAATTCCGTAAAATGGTGGTTTCCTCCTTTAGACGATAAATTTTGATCAAATATATTTGAAAGTACTGGTTCTAACCAGTATGATAAACCCTGTTGCTCCAATGGGAGACACAATATTTTATCGATCTTATCTTTAATTATAATGTTATTCATTAGATCTATTATTTTTGGATACGTCGAAGCAGGTAAATAAAAGTTGATTCTATTTTCTTCTTCCTTGATAAAGCGATATGCATCGTGCAAATATTTCGTTCCAAGTACATTATTCATGAACTCCTGGGATAAATTGTAAAAAAATGTCTCCGAACTTGCAAGAAATATGGGCTCGAAATATCTCTGATAGTAATTTTCTCCATATTGCAAGTCATTGCCCGAATTGCTAGTTTCAATTAACAACTCAAGCATATTGATAATTTTGGTTATGTACATCTTTGTCGTTATCACCTCACCCTTTCTGTTCTTAGTGATCTCGCCCACAACTATTTCAATCAATTTTGATCCCAATTCGTTATTTTCGTGCTTGATAATATTATCCTTGAACAATTGGATTCCCATATCGTAGATAAGTAACTTCTTGTGCTCTTTAACATACACACGATTAAGATACATCAAAACATCGCTTATAAACTTCATTGACTGCAAATGCTCGTCCCACTCCACCAATACCGCCTTCATAAAATCCTCATTGATCGAATTATTCAACGACGAAGACAGATTCAATATCGTGAGCAAATTCTGTCTCTTATGGAGTAAATGCTGCTTAATCAACAGGGAAACATCATCATAGAGTTTGGCCCCGTATTTCCTCAACACCAAAATGTATGCCTTCCTATACAATTGCTCGTACGATAATTTAGAAACATTTTTATTCTGGATCTGTGTGATGGCATTTGAAAGTACCGACCACGATAAATCATAGTCAACAACCGAATCTCCACTAGAATTCCCAATAGAAGAGCTAACCAAAGACTTCCTCGGTGGTCTTATCTTAGACCGCCTGCTTCCGGGAGGTAACATATCTAACGGTAATATAAGCGACTGATTAACCTTCTATAATCAATATTGATTACCATACTACTAATATATAAATCACTGTTTCCTCAGAAGCTTATATTTTTCGATCTAACCTGCAAAACAAATATTTTACATGTTATTTCGAATTTCACAGGTTACGAATCTGCAAAAAATGAAATAACGGCCTTACAAACGGTAGAGCTCCGATTGGTCTAGAATGCCGGAGCGGTACAGGCGCCGGTAACGCTCCGGTACCGGATTAGTCACATCTCCAGTATGACAGTTAATGGACAATGAATAATATATTTAAATACTTCACCATTCGTTATATTTGGTTGCAGATCAATTTATAGTAAATTATAATTAATCGCATAAATTCATAATGTCAGCTAAACCAAGAACGTTATACGATAAAGTGTTTGAAGATCACATAGTTCACAGGGACGAATCGGGGTCTTATTTAATATATATAGATAGACATCTTGTGCACGAAGTTACTTCACCACAAGCATTCGAGGGATTGAGCAATGCAGGTAGAACGGTCAGAAGAACCGATTGTACTTTGGCTACAGTTGACCATAATATCCCTACCAGTTCCAGAGTTGACTTCAAGGACATTGACACATTCATTGAGCAAGAAGACTCGAGATTACAAGTGAAGACATTAGAACAGAATGTGAAGGATTTTGACGTCACCTACTTCGGAATGAGTGACGAGAGACAAGGTATTGTGCATATTGTTGGACCCGAACAAGGATTTACATTACCAGGTACCACTGTGGTGTGTGGTGACTCGCATACTTCTACGCACGGTGCGTTCGGTTCATTGGCATTCGGTATTGGTACTTCGGAAGTCGAGCACGTCTTAGCCACTCAGACCATTATTCAAGCCAAGTCCAAGAACATGAGAATCCAGGTTAATGGTGACTTGGCTCCGGGTATAACCTCCAAGGATTTAGTTTTGCATGTCATTGGTGTAATTGGTACTGCTGGTGGTACCGGTTGTGTCATTGAATTTGCTGGTAAGGCCATTGAAAGCTTATCAATGGAAGCTAGAATGTCTATCTGTAATATGGCAATTGAAGGTGGTGCCCGTGCTGGTATGATTAAGCCAGATGAAATCACCTTCAATTACATCAAGGGAAGACCATTAGCTCCAAAGGGCGAAGAATGGGAAAAGGCTCTTGCATACTGGAAAACCTTGCATTCAGATGAAGACGCTAAGTTTGATTACGATATTAAAATCGATGCTGCTGATATTGTCCCAACTATCACCTGGGGTAACTCTCCTCAAGATGCTTTGCCTATCACCGCCAAAGTTCCTGATCCATCTACTGTTTCTGACCCAATTGTGAAGTCTGGAATGGAAAGAGCATTAAAATATCAAGGTTTAAAACCGAATACCCCATTAAAGGATATTAAAATTGACAAGGCATTCATTGGTTCATGTACCAATGCACGTATTGAAGATTTAAGAGCTGCTGCTAAAGTTGCTAAAGGTCATAAAAAGGCTGACAACGTCAAGTTGGTTTTAGTTGTTCCAGGTTCTGGTTTGATCAAGGCCCAAGCTGAGAAAGAAGGTTTGCATAAAATTTTTGAACAAGCAGGATTTTCTTGGAGAGAAGCTGGTTGTTCGATGTGTTTAGGTATGAACCCAGATATTTTAGACCCAGAAGAAAGATGTGCATCTACATCTAACAGAAATTTTGAAGGTCGTCAAGGTGCCGCTTCGAGAACTCACTTAATGTCTCCTGCTATGGCAGCAGCTGCAGCTATCAAGGGTCATTTCACTGATATTCGTGAATTTGACTACGATAATACTGATGAACCATCAGTTGCTATTGGCTCAGATGAAGACCAAGCATTACAAGACGCTGTTTACGAACATGAAAAACAACCAGTCGATGATTCTGCTTCTATCAGAGATGAACAACTTAACGATATTCCAAGAGAACCAGAAACTAAGAAATCGAAGGTTATTAAGGCCACCTCTACACCTGCTGGTATGGACAAATTCACTGTTCTTACTAGTATCACTGCACCTTTAGACAAGGCTAATGTTGATACTGACGCTATTATTCCAAAGCAATTCTTGAAGACCATTAAGCGTACTGGTTTAAAGAATGGTTTGTTCTACGAAGCCAGATTTGTCAAAGACCCAAAGACTGGAAAAGATACTGAAACTGACTTTGTATTAAATGTCAATCCATACCGTAGCGCTGAAATCTTATTAGTCACTGGTGATAACTTCGGTTGCGGTTCATCCAGAGAACACGCTCCTTGGGCATTAAAGGATTTCGGTATCAAATGTATGATTGCTCCATCATTTGGTGATATTTTCTACAATAACTCTTGTAAGAATGGTTTATTACCAATTAGAATTCCTCAAGATGTTATCAAGTCCAAATTATACCCTGTCGCCGTTGCGGGCAAGAAATTGACTGTCGATTTACCAAACCAACAAATCAGAAATGGTGAAACTGATGAAGTTTTAGTTGAAAATTTTGATATAGAACAATTCAGAAAGCACTGTTTAGTCAATGGTTTAGATGATATTGGATTAACTTTACAGAAGGAAGAATTCATTACTAAATACGAAACTATAAGAAGAGATAAATTTTCTTTCTTAGAAGGTGGTTCTAAATTAATCAAACCAATTAAGGGTGCTAAGAAGTCTGTCTATGGCCTTAAAACACAAGAATGGTAAGGCAATGGTTTATACTATTTGTAGTTTGTACTCTATAAAATCATAATAAAAAATTATAGTGAGATAAAATCACGTGTAGTATGTTTACCTTTCAGATCTTCTCTCATCGATCTGGTAGATGGATGAACTTGATCCTTATATATTCCAGAATTTCACCTACTACTAAGGGCTAAGTGACCACATATATAGTGGATTGTAAATAAAATAATGGAAAATGGTCCTGTTGCAGGTCTCAGACCGTCTAAGGCTAACGCAACTGACTTTGAGTTGTGGATCAGAATGGCTACAGACAATAAGATCAATGCCAATAATTCATGGAATTTTGCTTTAATTGATTTTTTTCATGATTTGTCACTATTGAGAGAAGGTAAAAGTATCAACTTCCAAAAGGCATCTGCTACGTTAGATGGTTGTGTAAAGATCTATTCCTCGAGAGTCGATTCAGCAGCTACTGAAACTGGAAGATTATTGAGTGGGTTGGCAGCATCTAAATACCATAAACCGAATGTCGAAGAGAATGAACAACAAGAAGAAGAAGATGATGAAGAGGACATCGAGGAAGTTGGAAATAAGCAACGAAAGAGAAATAGAGTATTGGAAAGCACGCTAGTCAGCTCATTTGAACAAATACGGGCCAAGAAAATGGACTTCGAGTTTGTAGTTGATCCGGTATTCAAAAAGGCGTTATCGGACTTCGACGAGGGTGGATCTAAGAGCTTACTATTGAATATGTTGTCTATTGACTCCACTGAAAGGATATTGTTCGACACAACGAGTGATTCGAAGACCTTAGCAATTGAAAATAATAATGAGACAGACATAGAAAAAGATTTTGGAATAAATGAAACTGATACACCTAAGGATAGTCCTGAAGTGGACATCAGCAACCTTGAAACTCTATTTTTTAGTAACATCGAACAATTAGATAACTTCAGAGTATGTCCGTCGATGGGTGCTCTTGAAGAAATTGTTGCACAAGGAGTCGATAACACCAACATTCTTGAGCAGATTGAAAAGCAGAAATCGGAACATGAAAATCAATATTATGACGATTATGATAATGCTGGGTCAGTGTTTTTTGACCATGACGACTACGAACATCACGACGATGCTGGCGGGTTAGGTGATAATTCAATGAATGTGACACTTCAAAGATTATTTGATGAAACATTCCAAAAAGAACAAAAGGTCAAGGATGGAATTGAAGAGATAGATGATATTCCTGATTATGACTTATTAGCATATTTTGATCAAGCATTAAGAAAAAATTGGACAAAGGGGCATGAGCATTGGAAAGTAAAACATTTGATCAAAAAAAGGAATGAAAATGTGGAAGCAAGAAGTCAGAGAAACGAAGTAACCACCAGAAAGAAAGACAACCTGATTATTGATTTCCTCAGTGAAGAAGAATTAGACGAGGACGAATTGTTTTCTGAATCGGCAGCTAGGATTATCATACCCAAGCATCAATGGATAACTCATGATAAACATTGTTTACCAGACGATATACATTTCACTAGTAGAAGATTAATTCATTTATTTGTGAAGCCATTGACTATCTTAAAGACCTTCAACAAAAGAAAAATCATACCTTATGAAAACAAAAAGGATAACGACCATAAAGCATTTGCTGATGAAGAATTCTGGTCTGAAAAGTACAAGGAAAATGAGGAATTGGAACGATCAAGAAGATTGAACGATATTTTGCGTGAAGACTTACAAGAGTTACACAAGTCCTATGATCAATCATTCTTTCAAGATACAATGAGGAATTTTGAAGACGATAATGATTACATTGACCCGATGGATGGAGGAGATTTGAATGACTTATTCAATGGGTATGGATCGCAGTTGGTTACGAGTCAGAGTCATATTAAACCAACCCATATAAACTTTTCAAAGGTTGCAAAACGAGTGGATGTTAAATTATTGAAAAATAACCTATGGGAAATATTGAAGAGCGACTCCATATTCAACAGCGAAGGGTTGAATAACGACAAAATAGAAAAATTTGAGAATTATATGGAAAGTCAGATAAACCCTCAAGGTATTGAAGAAGAAGATTCTGTAGATGGAACCACCAAGTTCAGCACAATATTGAACAACCTCACCACGAAATATTCAAAAGAAGAAAAGAACGATTTATCAACCAGTTTCTGCTTTATTTGCTTATTGCACTTGGCGAACGAAAACGGGTTTACAATTGAAAATAACAATGATACTTCGGACTTAATAATTAAAAACATGACAATTGACGACGATATAAATGACACGCATATATAGTAGCTATCTCTAAATTAATGTATAATAGACTAGAATAGAACATATAATACAACAAGAATTGAAAAAGGCACAAATAAAATCGATCATTCAATCCATTTTATCAGCCATAACTTGCTTCACAGGCTCAGTTTCATTAATATACAACTTGTGTTCTTGGATATACCTGATCACGGAATTTGGCAAAAGGTACTGGACCGACATACCCCGTCTAATAAATAGCCTGATTTTAGTGGAAGAAATATCGTTATATATCAATTGTTTAATAACCAAAAAGTTTCTCCTATGCTCGTACATTATATCATGACTCAATAAAAAGCTTCTAACATCAGCACCTGCCCTTTCGACAATAAGACAACCGTATTTTCCTAAAATATGATGCAAGTCTTGATCTGCCCATACATCTGGTTCTCCCATTGATTCAATTAAATCACCACCTGCTAGCAACATAATTTTGACCCCCCTCTTTTCGCCCGATTGAGTCATAATTCCCCCTCTCTTGATATTGATCTCTTCGTTGAAATGGTCCAACACCAACGCTGTTCTAGTGTACTTTGGCTGCAATGACTCCCATGCATCTACCATCAACCAAGATGATGTCCGTTCACATGCTAATTCACACATACGAACACGGTGATGTGCTGGTGCCAAACCTTGTTTTTTGTAATTCGAACTCACCGGACTGTAGTATCCTCCTACAACCTCGAAACGGGTCTGCTCCGATATGGCATCTAACGCCATCTCAAACATTCTTAAGTGCAAGTATGTAATGGGCGAAAAAGACCCGCATGCAACTATGACCAATGGGTACTTTGTATCGTCCCGCATTGTAGTACCTAATCTATGTGTCGGGAACTTATACTCTTCCAACGTCTTTGCCTGTCTCTGGATCCCTTGTGGCACCTCTTCCAAATCAGCTATCTGTGTACTCTTAACCTTGGCCGATGGTGGTAAAACCTCCGGCATGCATACATCCTCGTCCGAAGACGAATTCACCAAATCAGTATGCTTTCTAGGAATCTTGGACTTATATTGCTCGTCCTTCGTGTCCTCGTGGACCATATGAATTCTCGAGCTGCCTGATGATGGGTGCGGTGAAGGTGCATCCATCGCATTACCCAAATCCGCCAAAACTAGTGGCTCAATAGGAATATTTTTAGGTATTTGGCTTGAAGGAGCTGTAGGCTCAATGTTCTTATTCAATGATGGAGGGGTGAAGTTGGGGTCATTTGTAGGATCCATCTTTTCCAATTTTTATTGATAGTTATTTCGTATTTCAATTCAAGCTGGGGTTCCAGTGCTTCATATACTGGAGTTTGTCTAAAAGCCGATAACAATTGTCAAACTATTTACCGAACCACCGCTAAAAATCTTTTTGTGCGATTATCTGGAGTTTAGATTAGGTATAATGACTAACTCGAAAAAAAATAGTCGAAAAAGGGAGAAA